AAAAAACAACAGATTTAATAGGTTACTGAAATGGTCACAAGCAAGACAGGACTAAAGACAAGTTTTTTTTAATAAACCTTTGTTTTTATTAGTCTTATGCATTAAATTTCCAAAAAGGATGTTTCCGTTCCATAGATGACAGTTTTACAGTGATCGGGCTCCACATAAGAGTATATGACATGCAATTAAAGAAAAAAAACAACAACATAAGAACTCATATTTTACATTCTTAACCTCTGCCCCCTGAAATGAGTCATTATTCAACCTGAATTAAAAATAAAGACCCTCTCGTTTAGACTTTTGGAGATTTTTTTAAAAACGGTTTTTTTCACTTCCTTACAAATTTTCTTATCAGCAGTTTCTGGTGATCATCACGCCATTCTCTCCCCAGATGGAGTCTGCTTCTCAGACAGTAAAGACAGCATGAGTGGTGACCAGAACAAGGTCACATAATCAATAACCTGGCGAATATCACTAGAGCCCTTCTAATGTAGCATTCAGAAGGCTGGCAGGCAGGTAAAGTAAACTGTCATGGAAAGTAGATGCCATAGCAGTTGCCAGTATAACATTTCAACTTATCCTAGTGCAAATGCCAAAAAAGTCAGGAATGTATTTCTGTTCACAGTTACAGCTAATGAGAGTTCACCAGTCACAAGTAAACTCGGTGACTAAGTATTAAGTACAACACATTCACTTTCATTTCTACAGTCACTGGCAGGATTCAGCAGGGCAGTTCATATGCATAAGCTTATGTGAAAATGTTACAAACAAGACAAATGTTATGACATCTTTCACAAAGTCCAGCCTCGGAGTTGATTGAACAATAAAGTTTAGGTTAATTCTAAGATATTCTCTCCATCTCTATCATTCGTTACACTTAATAAAGTTGTATTTAGGATGTAAACATCTATGGCATGTCTTTTGGACTCTGTCGGTATGGATTCTTTGTGCTGTCATTTTCTAATAGTCACGAGAAATCACCAAACACGGGGGTGTAGGGGTGGTGGACTGTGGTTTTGAATGGCAGTTCCAAGCCTATTATGTATATCTAATGTTTCTGGGCTCCTGACAACAGAATTTGATCATCCAGGTCTTCAGACGCAGTCTCCGATAAAAACAGTTCCATCTTTCTGAGTTAAGATGTTTCAGAGAAATATCAGCCAGGACTTGATGGACTTTTTAAAGCATCTGAGACCTTTCATGTATAATTTTCATTGCTCTCATTCACCTACATTTATTTCTATTTTACCATAACTTTTTAAGTATTCCCTGTAAAAAAAAAATAAAAATCTGGATTATTCTGTGTATAATAAAGAAAAAAAAACTCTTCGCTTTTACACTTTCATCTATGAAACCAAGGATTTTGTTAAACTGAACAGCTCCACAAACAAGTGTATATCATGCAACCAGAATGAGTTCAAACAGCTGCACATCACGCACGGACACGCACAGGTGCGACAGATGAGTTACCGCTTACCTGACGTAAAGATGACATGGCAATAGCCCTTTTCAAAGGCAATTCACATGCTGTGATGCCTCGAAACGAGTCCCGCTGAGAGACTATTTTACATACAGAGGATGTATGGCTGTAGTTTCCATGAAGGGCCAGTAACCAAAGCCATGTCCATAATTCTACCCGCTATGGTGGGGGGCTTACTCTGTTCTCGCAGAGGTGCACATGGCCTGGCTTTGGGTGATGTGGGAATCATTTTTTAATGTAAATAATCAAAACTATCAAGATGATGTTCCTCATGCCACCTAACTGAAGCCCACTGCACTACCAACCATCTATACATCTACGGGCTGACAAAGAAGAGAACACGCACACGTATCTGACAAATCCAGTGTATTTGCAGGAAAGCTGTCCAGCCGATGAACAGCTGGGAATAAACTCTGAACTTCATCCCACTTAAACATGTTATGGCATGGCTGTGTAATGGGCTGTGAAAGTTTAGTTTTAGAGCAGTTTTTAAATAGGAGACTCAAAGAATCCTATTTTATACATAAATGTTGTTTCAATGCCCCTGTGGTACATTTTCTTAAAATAAAATACAGTTTCTATTTTTTGTGTGTTTTTCTTTGACCACATCTTTACTGACAGCTAATAATCTCCAACACTCTCCAGTTCAATCTCTCTGGATACAATGCACAGATTCTGTTGCCTGGAGACTCCTACAGAAACGGGGAGTTGTTTATTTTTTCATATTTGGGTTAATTTGGTGTATTCTCTACCAAACATTGCATGCTCAACATCTGAAAGGAATGTGTTAAGTATTCTTCTTTTTAGACATGGCACAAAAATAGCTCAAAGACACACTTACACGGTATAAACCAGGACTATATGGATCAACAATATGATCTCACATCACAGACACATAGAAAGACGCACACATATAAACACACACACACTTACAGTACACGTGTTGCACACTGAGACAGAACAATGGCTTTTTTTCTAAATACATTTTCTTTGTCTACATGTTTAAAGATACAAGAATGGTAAGGATTTACAAACAAATTTATCCCTTTTTTTCGCTTCTTTTCTTTTCTTTTTTTACGGGAAACAAACATGAGACATGTAACTTGAAATATTCTCTTTATATAATTTTTATTGCAATCTAAACAGTATGGCTTTGTCTAGTGAAAATTCCTATCTGAGCTAGAAAAATAATAATAATAAAAAAAATGAAAAAGGTGTTTTATGGTGTTTATGCCAACTTTATCAATGGTCCTAATAATCCCTAAAGTTGTTCTAAGTCACAGACTCCTGGAACAATGTACGGACAGTACATTGTTCCATCACTAACCACTGACACGTCATTGGGTCTTTTAAGAATAACCAACATGCTTTGTTTTATTGATTAATGTCCACATAGTAAATAGATTTTGTTTTCATCTACAGTACACCTATTTTAACATGACAAATCACTATGATATTAGTTGGATTAACTGATGCAGGATGCAGAATATTAGTAGGCTCTTTAGGCAGTGAGACACAACAACTCACAGACCAGTTATCCCAGGCTCAGTCTACGGTAACATTACCTATTAATTATGGAATACCTTTGAGGAAGAAACAGAGCATCGGTTTTAGCTTAGCGGCGGTCCCTGGGATGCATGCACGCGCTGAACGAGCTTGCTGTGTGTCTTCTGCAGGCCTGGCACGTATGATTGCAAATAAAAGTTACACATGCACGTCTTTGTTTATGACGAAAGAAATAAGGTCTTACCAGCATTTCTTTGGTCTGGATGTCGATGAGTGACAGTCAAGGTAGATTTGTACATTAAAAGATGAAGGAAAAGGTTAGCTCAGGTGGGATGTGAAGTCAATTTCAATTTCAGCACGTTAATGAAAGTGTGAAAAACACCAATAAGTTAATCAAGTGCTTAGTAACCAAATCAACCCGTTGCTAGTGGAGATGAAAGCATGTACCAGCAACCCTCAGTATCCCATTGGTCAATGCTCTGATTGTCTATGGCACCCACACCACCTAAATGATGACAACTTGGTCTGTTAGCTTATGATGAATGAAAATTCACACGTTGACATGAGTTTTTAAAATGTTTAAGCAGTAAAGTTTCTCTTCTGTCAAAACGTAGTGGCAGTCTAATCAGCTGACCAGATTAGAAAAGCTCTTGTAAAACTAGCGGTGGAAGCAGAGGGGATCTCTTTTTTTATCCTATTTTTCGCAGACCGTTTTTTTTTTTTGGAAGCTTTTGATCTTAAAAGGAATTACAAATCATATTTTAATATTTTGCAATTATTCTGGCATTTCCACAAGTTTGGATGCTTTGAACATTGGCACCATCATCAACCATATATGCCCACTAGAAATCCTAATATCAAATACGTTATTCCAAAATTGTCCAGTCTTGTATCTTTGAACGAGTGCCTACATGCTACCAACAGCGTTGACTCAAAATGAAACCCTCATTTACAATTCCTTTGCTAGAGGAGATGATATGAAGGCACGTGTCCTAAAAACTCAAATGTTGATTTCTTGTACTATAAAGGTCTACACGAGGTTTGTAAAAGTCGAAAACACCCATTGATTTAAACAGAACATGCTCCATCAACTGGAAAACGCGCTGGAAGTGCCATTTAAACACAAAAGTAAGCAGACACGAATCCACTGTCGTCCAATGCTGTTCTCCACGATGGCCATGCTCCGTCTGTTCTTAATGGGCGTGAACAAGTGCAAAACAACTCAGGTGTAAGAAATGTGAAAGTTTTACAACTACTGCGGTAAAGAAAAGAGGAAGAATGACACTGTCATCAAAGAGTAGAAAAAGCAAAGTAAAGGTTCTCTACAAAGGCAGTGTGTAGCCTCTAACAGTTTGACGAGGACACCCCCCCCCCCCTTCCCCAAATTCATTGTGATCCCAAGAACCTCAACATGCCCCGAATCTACACTCAAACCCCAACAAATTATTTCCTCAGTCTCTTTTCAGTTAACCCAAAGAACCCTTCCTCCCTCTGCCCCGCAGCCTCACCCATGCCTGACCGGACCCTGATTTTAGGGTTCATTTGATTTGTTTTGTGTTTTTTAGTTTTACTTCTTGAACATGTCCTGTAGAGGTCCAGGCAGAAACTTGAGGACGGTGTCAAGGATGCTCTCTTCGTCTTCCTCATCATCATCTCCGCAGCCTCGCGGAATCGCTTTCTTCGGGCGTGTCAGCGATCCCTCGCAGGCTTGCTCCATGGCCGCTTTTTCCTCTGCCTCCTTCTCTTCCTTCTTTTTTAACCCATACTGGACGAAGGAGGAACACCGGTGATGTGCAGGGAAAAAATAAAGGGTCATTAAATGACGAGTGAGACCCACCTCTGTAATCAGACCTAAAATGACATGCAGCATCAGTGCCAGTCTGGGGTGTAACGTGTTACAAAGTAATGCGCTACTGTAATAACATTACGTTTTTCAGGAACGCAGTAAAGTAACACGTAGCGATACAAAATTTCTTCTTTTCTTTCCAGTCTTCCCAGTATAGGTTTTTGTTTAGCGTTGAATTGGTTTTGCCTTTTGTTTCGTACTTCAGCCACAATAAACAGCTAACTTTTGGTTAAGAATCAAGTTTTCATTTTGCGTGTCTGCGTTTGGGTCCTCCTCCTCTGTCCAAGGAGTCGGAAGCTGATTGTGACAGAAAGAAAAGTATCAAACAAGTCTGTGTTTCTAAAGTGGAATCATCTCTTTGAACTTTTCTTTGTGTTGTTGTGTTCACATTTAAACTCTAACACAAAAATTGCATGTGCGTCCTCATTAGGCTCGGGTGTGTTGGCGTGCTGGACTGTAGCCTCAGGTTTATATTGTTAGCTGGTAACTAAGTAATTTCTGTGTGTTGCAGCTCAAGTAGCATACAGTAGTGTAGCAGTTTCTCCAGCTTGTGCATTACTTTTGAGAAAAGTAACAAGTAATGTGTAACGACCCCAACACTAACCTTGTCCCTGATGGTCTGCCGTACTTTTTCCCTCTCTGCCTCCATGCGGGCGTGTTTTGCCTTCCTCTCCTCCTCCTGCTGCCTCAGCGCCTCCTGTCGCTCCTCCTCCTTCTTGGCTGCATCCGGGTCCTTCTCCTCCTCCCCGCCTAACATCTTACCCATGTCTTTGGTGGCCCCTGGACAGAAAACATAGAAATACTGTAAGTTCCTTCATCGTTATTATTTTTTTAAATCCAGATGTTAAATGTTTCCAAAACCGAACAAATAAGAAAAAGAAAAATAAGTTGCAGCAATAATTTCACTTAAGAAGAAGTCTAATAATACATTTGTGGCTGCTATGACGCAGACCGATTCAAAAGATAACATGTACCTGACACCTGCTTCTGTCATGGTTATCATCATCATCATCATCATCATAGTTTATTTACATAGCACTTTAAAAACACACAAGGCTGACCAAAGTGCTGAACAATAGAAATATAAGAGATACAGTAATAATAATAAATACGATAAAATAATAAATATATTAAAAACAAAACACTTTTTTTTTAGTCAACTATTAAAATACTGTGTGTTTGCATTTCTGAGGATTAGGTGGTGAACAGGTTCACCCAGGAGCTTCAAGGTCCGTTGGAAACAAGACGGAAGAAGAACAGCCAGCTGGAAGAGCTTCAAAGAAACACTGAGACAGAGGAAGACACATTCTTCCATCTGCTGTGGCCATCTGTTATCTCTACCTGTACCTCCGCATTCTGCTACTAAACATAATTCAGACTGAACGTAAGTTTTCAAAGTTTCTGGGCACAGCGTGTGGTGAAAAAATGAGACTTTATTATTATGAAGGAGATAGACTTTGGGCCTTTTTATACTTACAAATGAAAATATTGATCAATTAGAAAAAAATCTGAATGAAATCAAATCAAATATTTAACATCATTTATCAAACAAAAATGCTAACAACCTCTGATTACAGAATAATTAGGTACACATCCCCAGTACAGGGTCGGAACCTTGCATGCTTTTCATTAAAAGTCTAAGGTTAACACTTACAATAGTAGAGTGGTGTTATCGGTGACGGTTACAGTCAGATACAATCAATTCTCAGAAATCTAAAAAACTAAAGCAAGCTGAGAAGTTCCCAGAGCAGTAAACAATTTTTTTTCTGAAAACATTGATTCATTCGGATTCATTCATTGGCATTTTCTGTGTTACAAATACATTTTTTGGTTTATATCATAAAGAGATTAAAACTTAAACCACTGAAGGAAGTCTTTAATCTGCCTCGTCCACATTCTTGGATACGTTTCCCACACACTCACTCTTACTTACATTTGTCACTGGAGTTGCCTTTCAGATGTGAAAGCCACTCCCTCCGGTCTATCGATATTGCTGTTGTTACCTCCGTCTGATCGATAGTAAATACAGGACCACCTGAGAGTGTACAAATTATGGATTGTCCAGCAGAGAGAAAACTTCATCTGAGTATCGATCTGCCTCTCAGGGACTGGTGAGAGGACAGTCTGGCTGGCAGCCTGGTTTTCCAGCCTAGTGCCTTTCTTAAGCCTCACAAGCTGAATATGTCTTACTGCTCAGGCTGCTCAGGTTAATCATTGGAACATAGTCTTCTTGCGGTCCTCGATATGTTCATAAATACAAATACAATCGACAAGGTCTGTAAGTGGCCTGTTTGGAAGCAGATGGGGTCATTAAATATTGATTTTATCCATCATCATCAATTACAAACTCTATAATCTATCACAGATATATTGCAGTTATTTATTGTTATATTGCAGTAAAAATCCGAGTTAGTACCTCTCTTGCACAAGAGTCTAAAGAGACCAATTCTGAGTAAATTACTCAGAAGAAATGTGGCTTTAAAGACTCTGTGGTTCTCTCCTGGGTTTGTGAGCCTAGGGGCAGCTGCTCCTGTCGCTCCTCAGCAGACTCATGCAGTGGCCCTAATTGCCCTGCAGCGCTGTGTGGTGGCAGCAAACCTGCAGATGACAAATTAGCGCTCAGCTGGTGGGAGGGGCAGGCTGTGAAATGTTCCCTGTAACTTGCTGAGGAGGTGGGTTAAGGTCAGAGTGTGTGCTGTGGAGCTTTCATTGTGATAAAACACTCAGTTACACCGTGTGTGAGCATGTACAGCTCATGAATCAGACGACCTTGGTTTTTGCCTTCACCTTAGAAATAGCTCAGTAGTTTTCAGATCCTTTAAACAGAGTATTTATCGCATGAGGTTTGCTTCTTTGTTCATTTGCAAAAGGACAATCTGTTATGCAGCAGAGCTCCAGTTATTTAAAAAAAACAGTATGCAGCTGTATTCTCCCTTCAGATTATTTTTGAGGTGATGTCCAAGCACCGGACATTTCATGTCTCATTGTGATTTTTTATAGTACTGATGGAACATAGTGAAGTTCTTTTATTGTTTTTTGCTCCCAATGTGTTCAGTAGGCTCATTCGCTGACAGTTATCTGTATCCATGCAACATGGGTTACAACACTTACTTGAAGCTGTTTACCAGAAAATATGTTCACCAACTCAATGGTAAGTGTCAATAAACACAAAGTACAGCTGAGTCTAATAATGATGTTTTATGGTTATAGTTTCTTAATCACAGTCTTTCAAGTCAAACTAACTATGACTACCTTTCTGGATCAAATGCAGGAACAGCCAAGTGATGTTTCCACCTGCCACCATTAGCACGATTAAAAGTTTAAGGTGTTTTGATAAGACTGTGCATGGTGAATATAATCTGTGTCAAGGATGCTCTCTTTGTCTTCCTCATCATCATCTCCGCAGCCTCGCGGGATCGTTAAAATAATTTCCCAGAGAGGCAGAGCATTTCCCTTTGCCCTTTTAACCACTTCAAAGAATGCATTTAGCCCGACTCTTGTATTTTGCTCATTTCTCTCTCTGCGTTTCAGTCTGTCGTTCCATTACCGTCACTGCAGTCCTTTCCTTTCCTTTGCTTCTCATCCATCTCCCTGCTCCACCTTCACCACCTCCAACAATCCATTAGAGGCAAGCTCACAGATTTCCTCTGCAGACAAAGATAGGTAGTTTGAGGCTAAGTGCTCTAACGCCCTCAGTCCTTGCAATGTGCATTCAATCACTCATTACTTCACTATTTCCCAGACTCAAGTCTTTGTGCCACAGGAGCTGTAACGTACAAAAGCTCTGGGTTGGAAGGGGCAGAGATATGGAGCGTGATGGTTGCAGCACGGCTTCATCAGCATAAACTAGCTACCCAAAAGGCAAACAGTGGACAGCAGAGAGTCTCTGCAGATAAGATTTGATTGATTTAATAGATTTGGCTGAAGCTGATTAAGGAATGAAGTGGATAAATGTCTCAGCTGTATGTGGACAGATAACAGCAGAGAGAGAGATGCTCGTCATTACAAGCAGAGAGCTTTTACAAGGAGTAATTAGCAGCTGGGAATGAAAACCTCAGAAGAGGCTGAAATGGAAACTGAAATGAAATGGAGAGTAGATGTCTTTGTTTTATTTTCTGCAGTATTTGTCATTTTTATCTTTAAGTGCCTCTGCAGCCCTCTGCCCAACTGGAACAATGATTTGTTCTGTGTGGTGGGAGAATTTTATAAGGCATAAAAATTAACCATAAATTAACTAAGAGCAAAAGAAAAACCAAAATTATTGCTCCTGGTGAAAATAACTGGGCATCACACACACTCAAGGATGTGAGAATGAACAACAATAACTTGTCCTGTACAGAAATGGTTGACCGATTTTCTTTTGTTTTGCTGTAAATAGATCAATATCTTTTTTTGGTCTTTATTAAATAAATAAATAAAAAGGGTTTTTGAGGCTATCTGGAGAATAACTAATGTTGACTGCAAGCTAAAATTAGAGTAAAAGACATTTTTCCATAAAGCAACTCCAGTAAAACTTCTTTTTTCTCCAGGAAACATACGGAAACCTGCTCTACTGAAAATATATGTTTCTCTAAATAGATCAGTAGACCTAAAAATCATCATCAAGCGGCTCTACTTAATAATCATTAGGAACCGTCATGTCAAACTAAGTGCTAAACTTTACAAAATACTCTGATTCCTCAAACTCTGTCCTGATAATCGAACCCTCTTTTAAGCACCTGGCCTTAATCCTGAAAAATAAAAAATATGAAATCCTAAAAAATGAAGAGCAAGGCATTTTCAATAACCATCATCCTGCAACATTTTCAGGTTGAATCCAGGAAAAAAAGAATTTCAAAGAGATCCATTTGCAAATCAGGTAGATCTGACTGAAAAAGCCTTTTAAAAAGATTTGTCAGACTCTGGAATACTTGGTGAGCAACTACGACTTTCACTGGAAGGAAACTGATCCTGGTCTGGGTTTGTGTTACACCTAGTAGCACAAAAATAAAACATTTCATTGTTAGAGGAAAGAATACATCCAATTATTTATAGAGTAATTATTTAAATACATAAAAAATGAATAGAAACTGAATGATACGACATCAGAGATCTAAATTTGGACAACCAGCAGCGTCCAGATATGGTGGTCACTTGCAACATACACTATCAAATTTATGATGGATAATACATCTTTTGCAGAAAAGATTATGGGTTAACCTAAAAGCATTGTAGTTCTGTATGCATTTGGTAGAATTATAAGAAGCCAGTTTGCAGGACAGTCGACGTCTGTGTTTCAGACTTTCATTCGCTTTGTTTTCACTTGTTTAATTTCATTTCACTCATTTATTATGTTGACTCCATGTTGAAAAAATGCTTCTCCAGTGCATTTAAATGCAATGCCCAATGCAATGGGTACTAAGACAGTCTTGGTACCAGCAGCAATTAGAGACAAAGAGCCATCGCAGCCACAGCCTAAAAAAGTGTGGTTAGACATCAACCTGCTCTGAGAAGCAGAAGGGTTTGTATGTAGAATGATTAAAGACATTTTAAAGACTCAAATATCCCATTCAAATGTGTTTTGATGATACACTGACAAGCTGATTTTTCAGTTTTTCAGTGTTTTAAAACCATGAAATATAGAAACACAAAGTTCTCATGCTCAGTTATCATTGTTTACTCACTGAACTTCACTGTAACGGAAATTCTGACCAAACTTTTCATTTAAAAGAGAACAGATGATAAAATTAATTAATTAATAAATAAAAGACAAGCTATGCCCCACTGACTCCTCCGGCCAG